AAATGGTGATTCCCTAAAGGGATGATGGAACAACAAGCATGTATTTACCTTACTGGTATTTAAGCACATTGACTTACTGACTTACTGGTCAAGTTGAATATGCAATATCATCAGTGGACCAAATGAGCAGTAATAGCCTGGTCGTCACAGAGACTGTTTTTGTAATAGTTTTTCATAAATCAGGGGTCATCAACCTTTTTAACCCCATTTGTTTCTAGCAGGATTAAATGCCAGTTGGTGCTGTGAAACCTACTGTTAAGCCTAAAGTCAAACAGATAAGGGATTTTTTAGAAAGAAAAACAGGGCCAGGTATGGTTGCTAACACCTGTAATCCCAACGCTTTGGGAGGCTGAGGCAGGAGGATCCCTTCAGTCCAGAAGTTCAAGACTGGCTAACATGATGAGACTCTGTATCTACAAAATATTTTTAAAATTTTTAAAAAGAAAGAAAAATAAAGGTAGAGGCCACAGAGAGACATGCATATGTTTTAAAATAGAATGCTATTATTATTATTTGAAGCAGGGTTTCACTCTGTCACCCAGGCTGGAATGCAGTGGCCTGATCTCGGCTTACTGCAACCTCCACCTCCAGGGTTCAAGCAGTGCTCCTGCCTCAGCCTCCCAGTAGCTGGGATTATAGGTGTCTGCCACTGCACCCGGCTAATTTTTGTATTTTTAGTAGAGACAGGGTTTCACCATGTTGGCCAAGCTGGTCTTGAACTCCTGACCTCAGGTGATATGCCCACCTTGGCCTCCCAAAGTACTGGGATTACAGGCATGAGCCACCACACCCGGTCAGAATGCCATTATTAACTGCCTACATCCATCTCTTGTAACATTTGTTCTGTAAGTTATCTAAGCTTGTGATATATTGGTTATACTTTACTATAAAGCACAAGTACATTTTCACTGCCACCCTGGTTATTGGACTGACTGCTCTTTCTTGTTTCCTAAGGCACAACGACTCTGTAAACGCTGTGGTCAAGCATGGAGAGCTGCAACACTTGAAGGCTGGAAACTGTATCATGACCCTAATGTTAATGGAGGTATTTTAGTAGATTTTATTCTGACAGCTGGGGACAAAGGCATTTTGCTCTAAATGCCAATCTTTGTGAACTATAGCTTCTTTTTTTAGAGAGGATTGTAATGAGGTCTCATTTTAAACTATATTTTCTTTCTTTTACTGTTTTATAGGAGCAGAATTAGAACCTGTTGAAGGGAATCCATATAGACGCATTTGGAAAATAAGTTGTTGGAGAATGGCAGAAGATGTAAGATAAATAAAATATTCAGTGATACTGCTTTCAACTCCAGGTTAATTAATTGAAAGCCTATTCAGGAGCTGCAAAACATTGAAAGTAGTGTAAAACTGGTTTTCAAAAACTTCCAGTGAAATTGAGGAATAGGCTTAACACTTAATTTTTAGTACTTAGGGTTTTATCAGAATTATTAAAACACTAAGTACTAAAAATTAAACACTGTTATAAGGCAGAAATGTAAAGGAGGTACCAAATGAGTTTAGAGAAAAAGTACTGGGGTAAAGCTTAAAGCTGGCTTCTCTGCGGCAATAATTGAATTGAACTTTTAAAACTTACTAGGATTTGGGTTGTTGGGAATGAAAACAAGAGGAAGGAATTCTAGGTAGGATATATAGATTGAGAAATTCAAAGTGAGGTAGATCTGCCAACTTGGAGTACAACGCTCATAAAGGAAATACAGTCAGTTCTGATGTAACATGACATAGGTATTCCTAAAAGTTGCCACAATGTACAACATTGTGCAGAAACCCTACAGGGCTTATAGGAAAATGGAGTTAAGAGAAAAATACTCAAAAACTTCATTAGGGTTACATAAAACAATAAAAAGTTAATAAAAATGGTAGCACGGTTTTATATCTGTCAGCTTAAAAAATACATATACTGACAAACAGTTTAAAAAAAATACATAAATACGCCGGGCACAGTGGCTTATGCCTGTAATCCCAGCACTTTGGGAGGCTGAGGCAGGTGGATCACAAGGTCAAGAAATCGAAACCATCCTGGCCAACGTGGTGAAACCCCATCTCTACTAAAAAACACAAAAAATTAGCTGGACGTGGTGGCACATGCCTGTAGCCCCAGCTACTCGGGAGGCTGAGGCAGGAGAATTGCCTGAACCCAGTTGGCGGAGGTTGCGGTGAGCCGAGATCGCGCCATTGCAGTCCGGCCTGGGTAACAAGAGCGAAACTCCGTCAAAAAAAAAAAAAAAAAACAAACAAAAAAAACAAATTAATTTTGGTCTTATTGTAAGATTTGACTCTGCCTATATAAGACAGTGACCTATGAAAGCTCTTTTATGTTGAAAGCAAGTGAAAGAAAACTAAAGCCTTGTGAATTAGTTTGAGGTTAGAACGGTTATTCTAGGATATAAGTAGTAGGAATAATAGTGGATTTGAAAAGAACTGAAGCTGAATTATTCTAGAAACAAAGGAATGAAGCTTTATGACAGGTAGGGCATATGAAAGGTTTATAGTGAAAAGTGAGAGAAATAAGTAACAATTGAAAAAAATTCTAGAAGTACGTTTGGAAACAAAGTGTTTCTGGTGAAAATTGAGATAAAGAAAATTGTTTGATTGTTTGGAAACTACTCTAACAGCTTAAAACTGATTGTAGCTAAATTACATTTTAGCAGACAACAGCTGAAAATCATTTACTCTTACCAGCTGGAAAGTGGTGATTTCCTTTTGCTAGAAAGAGACCATGTTCCAAAAATTGAATGACATGTCTGCAAAATATTTATGAAAATAGCCAATTGATCTGTTATATATTCCATTTTCTGAATTGATATTCATATTACCACACACTAAGTAACATGTAGAGTAAGAATTACTTCCTTTCTGAGTCATATTAAAATTATTTACCGTTTGAAATCCATAATGTAGATCATGTGTGCTATTTGCTGGTAAAGTGAAAACAATATATTACCCTAAATGCTTAGAAGCACATGAAAAGGTAGGTAGAAATAACTGTTTTGGGGGATTTGTACTTATTTATTAGAACTCTGTTTATAATGTTTTTATTAGGCATTGGTGTGTTTTATATGGTATTAATCCCAAAAGAGGTCTTAATAGGTTCTCTTCCCATATGTTTTCAAAAAGTACCAGCTAAGCACTTTGTAGCCACAGAGCAGCTTTCTTGGGTTTTTGCTTTGTGTTTATCTTCCATCTGGGTCTAATTCTGTTTAGACTTGACCATGTAGCTGCTATGACAGAGTGAAACTCAAGTCATCTTCTAGTGTTACCTGGGCTGGGGTAGGCTAGTAGTATTTCTGCCTTACCTGACCAAGGCATGCTCAGGGCCAGGTATGTTTTTAGTGGGGAAGCAGACAACTGTGTGGCTATTTGGAACACTTGTAATCTTCTGACAATTTTATTCCCTTTGTTACTTAACTAAATTGAAACTGAATTTATTTCAGTCAGGCACAGTGGCTCATGCCTGTAATCTCAGCACTTTGGGTGGCTGAGGCAGGTGGATCATGAGGCCAGGAGTTTGAGACCAACCTGGCCAATATGATGAAACCCTGTNAAAAAAAAAAAAAACCATAAGTACTACAATAAACATAATACTTTACTATTGGGAAACACTGCAAAGGAGAAAGGACTTACAGAGTACCTACATAAATTGGTTATGAGTAACATATAAACAAGGAACAACAAACTGCGGAAGGCTGCAGGAGGCCTCTGAGGAGGAAGGCCTCTTCATGCCTCATCTTCTGGTGCAGGGTGACCTGGGCTCTGCTACCATAATCATTGTGCTCAAGGATGTAAAACCCCTTCATAGCACTATGACTCCTTGTAAGGAGTTCTCTTAGCTGTGCATAGATAATCAGCTAAAGATAACCACATGTTCTTGTTTTGTGAAACTCCCAAACCGACACTGTTATCAATCCTTAGGATGATACACCAGTTCTGGCTCACTGATTCACTTCCAGCTCACTGATTCATCCCACCATCACTCCACCCCTACTCTATAGATCAAAGTTATTGTAATCAATAAATAGTGTGGATGATTAGAGCTCGGGAACCTCACCGTCACCTCCAGAGTAATGAAGTGATGGCCCCCGGTCCCACTTTTTCTCTTAATCTGTCTTTTTCTCATTTTTTGTCGTTACCGAACTCGGGGTACCCACAAGTGATTTAGGGCTGGCTCCCTACATTCTGGTGCCCAATGGATCCCTACATTCTGGCACCAAAGTGTGGGGCTCGTGGATCCCTAAATTCTGGCACCAAAGTGTGCGGCTCATGGATTCCCTACACTTTACCTTGAAAAAGACCTAAAGCATCTTGTAGAATTGGATGTTAAAGTGGCAGAAGCTTTAGGGCATATAACAGAAGTGCTTTAAGAGATCAGCATGGCAGTGGAAAAAGAGACTTAAAATTAGATAGACAAAAGGCTAAGAAAGTAATTAGGAGCCTGTCAGAGTTATTTGGACACTAAGTCATAAGGGTCTGTCACAGGATAGTATTGTTGGGAATGGAGAGGGAGGGAGAGACATTGGTCGGGACCAGTGATTAGAAACAGAAGGCAGAGGTGGGCTCAGTTATGAAGTAAGAGTCTCTGAAGTTTCTTGTTTGGATTGCAAGAAAACTGGAAATACCATTAGTAGGATCCCAAAAGTAAAATGGGTGGAATTCGTTAGTTCTACATAGGAATTAGATGCAAACGGATGCATGCCTTGTTTTGATGTTGTACATAGGTCAGTATCAGAGAGTATCAGGTATTTAAAAACGTTCTAGGAGAAAATACCTATATAGGTTCTATATGGAATAAAATTTGATTAAAATATTCAAAGCATCCATTAGAGTTGGATCTGCTTTCACCCAATATTTGACATTTAAGTGTTTTACTTTTTTCTCTAGATGTCAGCATTATTTCATCAAACTAAAGTTCTTCTTTCTTATCATCCCGCTAGATCTTTCACTAAAGTTTAAAAACAACCAAGTAAATAGGTTCAGTCTAGAAGAGATTGCATAACTCCAGATTATGAGGAAAATTGACATACTAAGAAAAACAGTATTTCAATTGTTTATATTCATTGTGTTTTAGGAGCTTTTTAATAGATACGAGAGAGCAATTTATGCAGCCTTAAGTGGGAATCTTAAGCAGGTATGCAATCTGTTTTAATGTTTAAATTTTTTCTGTGGAGTAAAATTAAATACATAAAATACTCTAACACTTGTATATAACAAATATAAACTTGTGTATATACTTAAGTATGTACATACATAGATGTAACAATGATAGATAATCATAAATCAGATAGTGACGTGTTCTGCTTAATTTGATGTATTTCTCAACGTGCATGGCGTTTTAATGAATGAAATCAGATTTCAGTTTTTAACTAAGAATTGTAAATTTAACTGCAACACACATTTATTGATGACTTAAAATACTCATAGCTGTTTGCAGACATATGCCACAAAGGCACTGTGAGTCCTTGGGCTGTCTTACATATCCGTTTTTTTCTCACAACCTCTACATATTATAAGCTATCTTGAGGGATACTATAATAATCAGTTGAAATGTCATATCAGCATGGAAAACTGATGTTCTAAACTCAGTATGAAAAAATCTTAACAGTTCGAACATCTTAGAAGATGTAGTTGGTGAGGGAAAGGTTATTTGGCACAATTTTTTTTTAATACACCATGTTTTATATCATTATAAAGTGATGTTATAGTCTGTGTCATTGGATGGATGCCTTTCCTTTCTTTTCTGTTGAATATGTCTATTATATATTTCTGTTTTGTAATGGGGAAAAAGCTGCTTCCTGTTTGTGACACCTGGGAAGACACAGTGTGGGCCTACTTCCGGGTGATGGTGGACAGTCTGGTAGAACAGGAAATCCAGACATCAGTAGCAACTCTGGATGAAACTGAAGAACTCCCTAGAGAATATCTGGAAGTAAAGTGAGTTTGTTGGATTGTTTTGAGTCATGGTGATTTGTAGCATGCTCTTTAATGTTTCATTTTACAGCCCTTTTTCATATTATTAATGTTATTCTGTTCTTTTCTCGTTTCTTTTAAAGTTGGACCTTAGAAAAGGTTTTTGAGGAACTTCAAGCTACTGATAAAAAGGTAAATGTTAATAGGAACATGTTACATATCTGGATTAGGAAACAATGTCATCCTATTGTGCACTGTAGCTGAAAGGAAAAAAATAGGTGGAACTTTCTCCTTTCTTTTTCTCACTTACTAAAGATAAACATTCTTTGAAAGGAAGAAAATTACGTAACTGATATATCATTTTTAGCTTTTTGTTTAGGATTACTTTCATCTAAGTATATGCACATAAGCTATATTTATTCCTTTCTTTTTGAAAATTTAAAATACATTATGGAAAATTAATAAGATGTTATTTTCCTGAATTTTAAAATCTAATATTTTCTAAAAATTATATTCCTTTAAAAATGCCTAAACAACCTTCGTAATATTGTATGTACTTGTACAGTAAAATAATTTAAGGATGTTTACAATAAAATAAGGATGTATAAATAAAACCTTTATAGTAATTTTCCACCTTTTTATGGTTATTCCCTTGAGATGATAAAACATACTGATGTGTATTCTTCTGTATTTCTTTTCATGATCTTACGAATATGTGTAAATAATGTAGATATTCCAAGAATTTTGATTTTGTGTTTTTCACATTGTACTACATGTTACTCTACAGCTTGATTTTTTTTTTCATTTAATGATAATCTCCAATGTAGTTGATTCATTTTCACTTAACCTTAGTCCTTTTAATAAATACATAATTTGTTATTGTTGTTGTTGCTTTTTTTTTTTTTTTTTTTTTTTTTTTTTTTTTTTTTTTTTTTTTTTTTTTTTTTTTTTTTTTTTTTTTTTTTTTTGAGATGGAGTTTCACTCTTGTGGCCCAGGCTGGAGTGCAGTAGTGCGATCTTGGCTCACCTCAACCTCCGCCTCCTGGGTTAAAGTAGTTCTCCTGCCTCAGCTTCCCGAGTAGCTGAGATTACAGGCATGCACTACCATTCCCGGCTAATTTTTTGTATTTTTAGTAGAGATGGGGTTTTTCCATGTTGGTCAGACTGGTCTCGAACTCCTGACCTCAGGTGATCTGCCCGCCTCGGCCTCCCAAAGTCCTGGGATTACAGGCATGAACCACCACATCCAGCCCAAAAACATAATGTTCTATGGAATAATGTATGATTTATTTTAATCATTCCCCTTTGGGTAATATTTAGGTTATTTCTAGTGCTATAATGAACTTATATATTTGTGTGTACTTAGCTACTAGTCCTTCTGTTTCTTCAGGCTAAGTTTCCTGAAAGCAGGGTTACTGGGTTAAGAAGTATAAGTATATACTTTATACATTGTATATACATATATACAATGTTTCTGAATGAATTCTCTGAAGACATCATGTTGTATACATTAAAAATATATACAGCAAAAATAAATAAAAAGGCCAGGCATGGTGGCTCATGCCTGTAATCCCAGCACTTGGGAGGCAAAGGTGGGAGGATCACTTGAGGCCAGGAGTTTGAGACCAGCCTGTGCATCATAACAAAACCTCATCCCTAAAAAAAAGTTAGCTGGGTGTGGTGGTGTACCCACTTGCAGTCCCAGCTACTCCAGAGGCTCAAGTGGGAGGATCACTTGAGCCCAGGAGGTTATGGCTTCAGTGAGCTGTGATTGCACTACTGCACTCCAGCCTGGGCAACAGAGCAAGGCCCTGTCTCAAAGAAACGAGAAAAATTTAATAGGTAGGTAGGTAAAGAAACATTTTGAAATGGATGGCGCATCCCTGTAATCCCGACTACTTTGGAGGCTGAGGCAGGAGAATTGCTTGAACACAGGAGACAGAGGTTGCAGTGGGCCAAGATCATGACATTGCACTCTAGGCTGGGCAGCAAGAGCAAAACTCTGTCTCAAAAAAAAAATTTTTTTTTTTTTTTCAAATGGAAAAATCGTTAATTTATTACCTGGTTGTGGCAGTTAAATTCATACTTCTACAAGTAATTTATTGAATTATACATTCTCACCAGTCTCAAATGTCACACTTTTTATGTTTTGCCAATGTATCAGAGTAGGTAGGAAATAAGAACTTGCTCTTCTACTCACATTTTCTTGTCTGTTCATCAGGCTGAGCATTTCCTTATGTTTATTGACCATTTGTGAATTTTTTGTTCATATCTTTTAGCTATTTTTCTGTGGGATTTGATATTTTTCTCATATAGGAGCACTTGGTTTAGCAAGGAAATTAATGCTTTTTCTGTCAAGTGTTTATTACCAGTCTGTTTTTTTGGAGATTCAAGCTAATGAAATAAAACAAGAAAATTAAGGAACAGATAGAAATACTGGAAAGGGAAGAACATTTACATATGACAAAAATATTAGTCTAGAAACTTAAAGCTCAGTAAGTTACTAGAATTAACAAGAGAATTTGTTAAAGTAGCTAGATACAAAAGTTTTTTTTAAGTCAGCCTTTTGTACTTGTTACAACTATTTAGAAAAGGATTTAGCACTCCCTCCCCAAAAGTTCCATTTAAATGAGTGATCAAAACTAAAGAGATCTAGAAATAAAAAATTAATCAAGGGTTACAGGTCCTTCATTTAAAAACTATAGACTCTTACCGAAGGCATAAAATAAGAAATAAATAGATATATCATGTTCCTGGATGAGGGCATTTAATATAAATATCACTCATTCCAAAATTAGCATAGAAACCTAATGCTTTGAGATATTACTTCTGGGCAGAAAGTTGTCAAGTAAAAGAATAATCGAGAGGCCGGGCG